TAAAAATGGTAGTTGCCAACTGATGGTGAGGATAAGCGACGCTGATAGATGATGAAGATAGTGGAGACGATGAACAACCATCGAGTTAGTGAAGAGAGAGAGAGAGATAGAGTGCGCATGTGTGTGTGCTCTGTACAAAAAAATGGAAGAAAGAGAGGATATAATGGTCAAATAAAATATTCAAATAACAAATTCTGTCCTTTATATAAAATTTTATAATTATAAGGAAATTTTGAAATTATTAAATTTTTTTTTTGTCCTTTTAACAAAAAAAAAAAAGAAAAGCTAGGAGGGGTTTTTTTTGGAATTTAAAAAAAAAAAAAAAAAAATCTCATTTCCCCCTTAAAAGAATCGCGAAACACATGAAATACACATCCAAACCTTTCACTCCATTACTCACAGCCAAATACACAGTGCTGTTTCTTTTTTAATTGGTAGTATTTGACATAAATAGGCGTGTAAAAATGTTTTTATTGCCTTTCAATATCTTATGTAAGGCTAACGTAATCATTTTTAATATGTTTTTATGTGGCAGTTGGGGAAGACTATTGAAATAACAAATGAAGTTTAAGGATGCAATTGATATAAATTAAAAATTAAGTATCAAAATAAAATAAGTTCTATATTTTAGGGATAATTTGTGAAATTTATTCAACAATTTATACAGATTATTCATGACCATTATGTAGTGATTGATTTACTAAAATAAAATTAAATGGTCATTTTATTAGTTTCTTTATAAGATAATTATTTTTTGTAATAATAAATAATAATTCTATTCATAATATATTTTTAATAATTCAAATGTGATAGTAGTCATTGCTGCGATCATTTTATTTTACTTCATTTTAATAAATCAAAAATAGCGTTAGTTTGATAGGCTTGCTTAAGGTAATCACGAGAGGCAAGAGGATCAGATCAGTTTGGTCCCCAAAACCAAGCCAAGACAAAACTAAACATACAAGACAAAACTAAACATGCAATCAACATAACATGTGAAGTGGGAATCTGCTTTTGTTTTTTTTTTTGTTTTGTTTTGCTCCTTCATTTCCTTTTTGTTCCTTACAGTTCCACTAAATAGCTTAGAAAGAAGCCAAAGCCTAGTTTGAGGCTTACACTTTTGTATACAATAATTGGATCTTAGAGGCACCCACATCATTAGTTGGATCCAATTACTTTTGTTTTGACTATATTAGTCCATGTCCATCCATGCCTAGAATTACTCATTATGCCCTAATAACAATAATATTAACTGTCAGAAAATGTTAAGTCATACAAAAAATTTATACAGATTTTTTTTTTTTAGCTTCTTTCTAGTTTGTGGTGAGATTAGAGTGTGTTATTGGATTCGTGGAAGCTCATAAGGAATTATGTTTTCATAATTTGAACCGTTCAATGTATAAAATTGACCAAGTATTTTATCCTTGCAAAAAATTATATTAATCGGATATCAATAGTCACTTAATCATATCATATTTCTGTCAACGGTAAATATAATTTTTAAAATAAATTGTTGATAGAAATCTACTCTAATCAAATAACTATCAATATACAATTAACGTGATTTTTTGTAATAATCAAATACTTGACGAACTCTATACATTAACGGTTTGAATTATCGAAACAAAGCTCGTGATGGGTCCCATGGGCCTGAACATAGTGGACTGGAGAGAATCTGATTCAAAAAAAAAAAAAAAAATGTAATGAATCATGAAAACTTATCTTGAATTTTGCCTCCAAAGTGAGCATGGTATAGATTTAATGTTAACGAAATGTGGTCATATTCATAATGAATGTAGTCAATTGATTACTTTCTATGTAATATTTTGGATAAATTTTATTATATTTTTAACATTGTATAAAAAAATTATATAAAATGATACATTAATGACATTTTTGTACTGATGAACGAAAATGGTAGACTTTTAATTTCCAATGTATGAATTTAAGTAAGAGATGTCATTATGTACAAAATTTATGTATATTGTTAGTAATTGGGCGCCCATGTGGCATGACCCTTAGAACCTTTTGAACCTCATCCAAATGGGTTTTGAATTTAAATTCAAACCTATTTGGATGAGCCACTCAGGATATATATCTATCATATCATGATATGGATAGATGATATAGATATCAGATATTATCTCATTTAACCAATGGATAAATGAGATAAATATAATATATATCTGATATATGGTTATGGGTAACCAAGAGAGAAACAACGTATGTTTTGTTTCTACCCATGATACTGACTCTCTCCCAAAAATAACGATCAAAGTCATTTTGCACTGTGGTTTGTGTGGGTGATATTCACCATTGTAATATCACCCCACTGCTGGGATTGATTGATTGAGTATGGAAGCACGTGATTTATCCACGAGATTTTAGATCAAACGAGGTATGATCTAAACACTTTATTACGCTGCATGTTTTGTGTTTTGATTTACAGATAATATTAGATACAAATAATACTGATCCAAAGTATAAGATATTCAACCTAAACACACAAAACATTAGCAAACAACAAATTCTATTGTGCTTCAAGTACAACAGGCACTCATTTTATCTCAAAAACTTTGCTATCTTAACTTGCTTATAATTATTTGATCATATTTCCAGATCTTTATATCTTATAATTATTATAGAATTCAATAATTATAAATAAATTGAGACAAAAATATTTTAAAATATATTAAATAGAAAATCCCAACTTTTTCAGGGACACATCGGGTAAGAATCTTGGGAGGGTCATGTTAGGGTGCAGGTTGTGCTGTGAATGTTGACCAACAAAAGCTGAGTAATTGCCCTGACAAAGGCTCACCCCCTTCTTGCAAAATTATATTGAAAAATTATCGGGTGTGCAACGCACCGTATTTTGTGATAGGATTGCATATAATGTGAATTATACAACAGAACTTTCCTCTTATATATTATGTTTTTGGAGCAAATATAGGTAATGCCTGGGGCCAAATTTGAGTAGCTAAAATAGTGGGACATCTATTTTGTTCTTTTTTTTAAGGAGACAACGGAATAAGTGTCTTAAAATGAATAAGTTGGAACAATGCTTTCATTTTTTTTTTTTGATTGACGACAATTAATTATTAGTTGTTAAATTAACATTTAAAAAAATTAGCCTTGAAACAATGCTTTCATTCAAACCCCCCTGAATAACTTCTCCCGACAAAAGCTAAAACTACAAAATGAATTTATTCGAATAGTATATGAATGGAACTTGCTTCTCACCAGCCCAAAATTTAAACCGAAGAGTGTGGCTTGGATCTGTGAAATCCACCACGAATCTCGTTACAAATGTTGTTTAGAATTGTGAGACTTAGTCTCGTAGCAGATCATTAAAACGAGACCTATGAAACTATTAATCTCATGTCAATTTTTCAAAATAAATATAATTTTTTGTGAACCCCATCTCACTCTTTATCTCTGAAAACAAATATGAATTTATTCTAACATAAGGGAAATGTTAAATACACACTATTTTATTAGTTTAAAATTATATATCTTATATTCAAAAAGTATATTAGGATGACCTAAATAAGTGCATTTTTTGTCTTTTTACAAAAAGATGTGCAGAAAAGTAGAGAGGTGATGTGATAGAAAAAGATAAAAAGATGAATTATTTGAGATATGCCAAACTTAGCCTAAGTTCACTTAAACTTATGAGCCATACTATTTTCAGCTTATTAAAATATTTTGTTTTATTCGTACATATTGTCAAATGTGTGAATAAAATCAAACTTCAAAGCAAGTGCGACTTTGAAGAGAGGCTAGGCTTGGTTGCATAGTTTGTTGGGTATTCTTATTTTGTAAGTCAGTTATCATCGTTAAATTTTACTCAAACGGTTGGTATCCTTCAGTATCAAAGGGAACCACTGTGTGGAGTGTGGGATTTGAATGGATATAAGTTTGCTGTTCAAACCTCGACCAATTTTTTTTTGAAAAAAAAATAGGAGTATCAAATATTGAGAATAACTTGGCTTTTTTATTTATTTATAAATATTTTACATGCATTGCAGTTTCCAGAAGAAGAAAGTGTACGTAGCTTTCCAATGGTGAAGTTATGATCCCAAGGAGCACCTAATAAACAGTGGAGGGTGGCATAAGCATATAGCATAGGAGGTTCTTATTATTTATCACCCCAATCCAAGTAAATGATTCCCTCTGTACTTGCCATTGCTTCTTTCCTGCAAAGGTTCTGTTGTAGGCACAACCTTTTAGATTTTGATAAACAAAAATAAAAACAAAACCAAAAGAGATATAACAAAAACTAGAATGATCTCCTTGTTGAGCATTTAGGTTTCTCATGCATTAGGTTGGGTAATGGAAAACACCTTTCACCTAATAAATTTTTCAAACGGTTCTGCTATAAACACGAAAGATTTTCATACAATAAAATGCAAATGTGAGATAAAATATATATCTTATTCTATAAAAGTTATATGTGCACTTAAATTTACTCTCTTTTCAAAGATCGCAAACCAGATAGACTCCATTTTGAATCAATCGTGGACCGTCTAGAGCTATACTGGGAAGAAGAGGGATTCCCAAGAGGTTTTCAATTGCAATCAAGGAAGACAATAACAAACACAGCATTGGGAGAAGTTATATGGTAAATCCGACATAGCCATCTTGCCAAATGGATGATTTCTTGATGGCTTTCTGAGTGCTAGTACAAGCTTTTTTTATATTAATTATACAGACACCCCCTCAACAAACACTAAAATATCAATTTACTCTGCTCGACTTCAAAATCATACATTTAGACACCATACAAATGTCTCCTTTCTAATAGGGGTGAAAGTGATCCAATTCATAGCTTCGCGAATCTAAATGTATGGTTTTAAAGTTGAGGGAGGTAAAGTAGGGGTGTCCGAGCAATTTAAGTCCTTTTTTTTACGTGTCCATGAACAATTGCATTGCCCAAGAAAGTTTACTATGAAGCAGGGATATGTAGATAAATATGAAAGGTTATCAAAGCAATAATATCAGCTGGCAAGGATGGTTAAAAGACAATACCTCTCAACTGTAAAGAATACAACAAAGATCCATATTTCCTTTTGGCTGTGTTTGGATCATGAATTTCAATAGAGATTTATGAAGATAAAGGAAAAGGGAAAAAAAAAAAGTGGCAGACATAAAAAGCTAAATTTTTTTCACTTATCTCTTATTGTCCCCAATTCCATTTATGTTCCCCAATTACAAGTAAAACTCACTCACTCATTCTATGATTCCCTCCCCTCCTCAAGTTCACATTCTCACTCTACTAGTTCTAGGGCAATATTCCCAACTTTTTGTTTTCATGTTATAGTTTTCACATATACCCTACTTTCACAGAAGACATATTTTTTTTTATCAAAATAAGAAAATGAATTAAAAAAGAGGATGGGGGAGGGGAAGTATTCATCATATATTCATATATTTGACAAATGTCACTTCAGACCATCAGCTGAATTGCTTCTCTGTTTGGCGATCAAATTCCTCAAACAATGCTGCAATTTCAAGATAAACATTTTCAACTACTTTAGTTGCAAAAAGAAGGAAAAAAAACTATGTTCTCTTTCTTCATCAAGATATATGATCAAACCAAATGAAAAGAATTGGGTGACCAAGTACACAAAGCTCCAACTAAAGTGGGGTTTGGCTAGGGCAAGACGTACGCAATCTTATCTCTATTTATGGAGAGGTTTTTGTGACTCGAACTTGCATCAAATTATGCATCAAAATTTTCATATATAAAGAAAATCCAATGAATAAAATCAAATTTGACTTTTTAGTGTGTAAATAATATAAAAACAAATGTTACTCCAGGTGTAAAGAACCTTTCCCACAATCAATGGTCTGCACTCCCAAATTCAAATTGTCCTTCAAAGATTTGTACAAAAATAGCACCGACCTGTATGTCTTCTTATTTCTTCCTCTGTACAGGTGCTTTTTGTCCTGATAAACCCCAAGGTCATGATTGTACTGGAAAAATATGAGAAAAATATGTAAGCCAGTGAATTCCTTATTTTACAGAGAGTATCAGATTCATGTGGGAAATTTATAAATTCGCAGGGAAAAGAAGATGAAAGGCGGGTTATACAAGAAGTGCAGCATTAAGAAAAGGGTCTTAGATTACTACCTTCATCAACCTTAATCTCTATGAGTTCTTCAATAGGCTGGCGACATATTGGACACTTATCGGATTGAAGTCTCAATGCTTTGGCACACTCGCTGCACATGCACTGATAAGGCAAAATTAAAGTTCAATCAATAATGTGAGAGAGAGAGAGTCGTTGCAAGCTATCATAAATTAAAGCCAGTGCAAGCCATAAACAAAAGAAATTTATATTACTTATGTATCAAAAACCTATTCCAAAGTGTCTACCAGATCTAAAAATTGGTTCAAGGATGGATTTACCGTCCCTGAAAATCAACCACACAAAAGTTACAGTAATCTAGTCTTAGTCCTCAAAACTGGCTCTTCCCCTCCTTTAAAAGTCTTTCTATTCTGTTCACCACAAACTAACCACATAACAGCCCTTTCTCCTCCTCCTCCCCACCCCAGCTCCTCCCCAAGATCAAAGAAGTTCCTCCACCTTCTGAGGAAACACCCTTTCCAATCGGACTCTCACCATATTTCTGCACGTCGAAACATATGACTAGTCTGGTTTTGAGAACATTTCCTAGAGTAATTAACTAGAATTATATCTTAAAACCTTAAAAATAGGTCTATAGGGTCAAAATGAGACTCACCATATGTCTACATGGCAAAATGGCAGTATCCTTCGGGTCAGTCATGCAAATCACACATTCCTTTCCCGAATCATTGTCATTGATGGTCACGTCATTTGAACTGCTGATTCCATAAATCTCACGTAACTCATAGCGAACAGCATCAACCCACAGAATCTGCTTGATTACTTTTACTTGAAAATGGCTCTCGTCATTCTTCTCCAAGACAGCTTGAGTAATCTGTGCATTTGGAGCTATAGTCACTGTTGACTCATCAAGCTGCGCGTCCTTTGCCAGAGATGGTAAAATTGATTCTGCTGATATAACAAGTGGGAAAACATCTTCTCCTCGTAAAGGCTTCGATAGGTCAATTATGTCAAAAAAGCCCAAGTCAATGCCAGTTCCCGACGACTGACAAAATTTCTGCCTCAGTCCTTTCTGAAAAGGAATACTCACAGGCATATGGATCTCTGGGTATACTGGAGTGAAGGTACAGTTGGCCCCTTCTTTGCTGAAGTAAAAAATGGTGATACTGCAATTAAAGGGGGACAAGGGAAAAAAAGAAAACAAATCAATGCCATATATTTATTGTTTCAACAAATTATCATACATATAAAAACAATAGATTTTGAAAAGATAATAAGACAAATCAATTACAGGTTAAGAAAAACAGAGTCTGGAGAGTCAGGACACAAACTGTTTACTCCCCCCTATACATAGGTTTTTCTTTGAAAAAATGAAGAAGGAAAACATCAAATTCTAAATCGCAAGCTAAAGAATCATACAGACAATTACTTAACAAGGAAATGTCCATTAAAAAAACATATAATTCCCAAGCACAAAGAGAAAAGAAACAATCCAGGAACTCCTCATGATGACTGATAGCATGAAAAACAAACAATTCTATGTTGTTCAAATGCATCATAGCCTCCAGGTATCAGATGTGTACTTGCCAACAACTAAGAAAAGCAAATTAAACAAACAAAACAAAAGAAAAAAAACGAAAGCAACAAAGGGGGAAAATAAGGAAAAGGTGAACAGGAGTCGCACAAATAGAGAAAAGAAAAAAAATAAATATTAAGAAGTCTCTTATTTTTTTTTAGTTTAAAAAAAATGCTGACACTCATTAATCAATCATATCACTGACTTACCCAAACTAGTAGAAATTTCTAAAATTAAACCACTAAAAACTGCTTCTAGTAACCAATAATAAGTACTACAACTATTTTCTAGAGTTTAAAAAATTCACTTTGGGCATACTAGTTATGCAGAGTATGATGAAGAAGACTAAAAGAAAATCGAGAAATCTGCTTGAGACCTGCCCAGGACCTCATGTAATCAAGTTTGGGTTCAATTTGCATTTTAGGTTTCTATTACCAGTCAAGGATAGGAGAGCTGAGGGTTGGGTCATAATCATAATTGAGTCAGGTTGAATTTAACATGTAAAGTTTGGGTCAGGTAAAAAATTACCACTCCCAGTCAAGGATACTTAGGTAATTTGTAGATGAACTCTATGTTACATAGACTCGGGTATGGGTGTTGGGGTGCTTATATGTGTCTATATGCATAATTCATCTAATTCTCATATCCAAGGACACAGGGACAACCAAATATTCAAATTTTTTAAATATTATTAACTTATTTTCTAGCATACAATAGTGTTTACAGGGTGACATATAGCATTCCATGCATTACATAAAAGTTCAGTACATAATTATACAGTAAAGTAGAATTACTAGACATGCTTGTTTGGTAAATGTCCAACTACACACGTCGGACACATATTGTATAGAGTGTTTAGTATGAATCTTTTATCCAACTACACATGTCGCAGGATTTACTAGACATATGTTGTTGTAGTACAAGTCTTTTTTCCAATAAGAATTGCAGTTTGAGTCCAAGAGACATATTATGGGTCAAGGTCTATTATTGGGCCATCATATGAGATCTTTATTAGTTCCATGGTATAATTAGTGGTCAATGTTTCTTACTCCCCCTATCCTACTAGAGTTGGGGGAAATCTAACATGTTACAACTATGCTGTATTTAGTCCCCATTAAATGGGGGTCTGTGAGGGACAGATTAGATATAAACCTAACCTTTGGCATAACTTGCACAAAGTGGCTGCCCCTCACACCGAACCCACAATCTCAAGGTTAGTAGGCCGAATTTAACCCTCTAAACCAGTGGCCCCCTCAATGAAGTTGAGTTTTTATGAGTTTTTAAAGGAAGAGAAAAGTTTAATTTCCCTTGTCGAATGTTTAGTAAGTAGCAGGGAAGGAGCTTGGAAGGACTATGAAACCTCTCTCGTCTCACTTTTTGCTCACCTCTGAAACGGGAGGTTTTGGGAGAGAAACAAAGCAGAGTTAGTGATTAATTCCTCCTTGATGGATGTTTAATAAGTAACAGGGAAGGGGCTTGGAAGGATTGTCTCCCCGGTCTTGAAGTGTATGGGGAATGCATAACTTAGTTCCCCTGAATAGATAACTGTCTTTAATGATAAATCAACATACTCATACCGGTGACCACCTAAAGTGGGTGTTTGGGAAGTGGTTTTTTTATGTAAGTTTTTTTAGTTGTAGGATATTATTGGATAAAAAAATTTTGGTGTTTGGTAAGATAGTTGGGTTTTTTTGTGGTTGAATGTGATGTTTGTGAGAGAAAAAGTGAAATGATTATGGGGTTGGATGTGATATTTTGTTTGGATGTGTTTTTTTTGGTTTTGCAAAAAGTTTGTCTTTTAGTGAAAAAAATCAAAAAAAAGTCCCAAACCCAAGTTCCCAAACACCACCAAAACCTCCTAAAAAACAAGGCCAAAATCTGGACAAGTAGAATACTCTTCATCCTCTCAAATCCTACCACATGGACACTCAGGGTCTGGGATTGGAAGATGACATTGACCTAGCTAAGAGCATTCACAGGCTTGTTCTCAACACCAGCGTGGCACTAACTGGAAGACTCTTTATCCCTTTCTATTCTCCTAACTCCATTTGTCTTCCATAATTAATTTGAATTACAACTGGAAGACTCACATCACAAAGTACCTCACCATCCCACAAATGAGAACCTTTTGGTATAAAACTTGTCAACATGCATCATCTAGCCCGTTTGACTGATATGTCCTGCGCTAAGAAGTACATATTTGAACGTGGGACACAGATACAACATGATATGGATATGCTGAAACAATCTATTAGAAAAAAAGGACAAGATAAAACTATATTTACACATACACATGAAAATAATATTAATCTCTTTAACTTTTCTATTACAAATACATTTATGTTTCAGTATATCAAAATAGTAAGAAATCATTTTTAACATTCTTGTATTGGAAAAGACGTGAACAAAAAAATCCAAATACCCATTTGACAAACTATATTTATAAATTTAAAAAAAAAAATTAAAAATTTGGTGATTTAGAATTAGCCTAAAGAATGAGGAGATCCGCATTGTTCTGATTTTAATAATTGGCTCCTATGTTATTTTGTTCAAATTGTGTGCATCTCATATGTGGATGGACACGTGTCTAAATGTCCAAATTGTGTTCAATTCTAAAAAGATTTAAAATAAAATAAAATAAAATAAAATAATTAATAACACATTTGGATGTGTATTCAAAAACATGTTAAGAAGTGTCCCATACAAGTTTGACACTGACATGACACCTTTCCTAGAACTGGTCATGCTTCTTAGGTCCCAAGGACCATCAATCTCTTGATACTCCAATCTAAATGACAATGCGAGCTCAGCTGGAGACCATAAACACCTAGAATTTATTTTTTTGTTTTTTTTTTTGTTTTTTTTTGTTTTTTTTTCCTCTCCCCGGACAAGTCTTAAACACCTAGGATATTATACTAATACTCACCATCATTGGAGTGTTCTGAGTATATTTTACCAAAATCCTTGCCCACTGCAGTTGGAGTAGACGTTTTGTGCTTCCACAAAAACAACTAGAGGCTCCAACCACACCAATCTCCGGTCAACGAGAACCCATCACACCAAACCTGAACCAGGTTTATGGGCTTTTACCAAAATCCCTATCTAAACTAGAATCTTCCTCACCATGAGAGAGTTTCCCCAATAGCTTCAGACTCTCGGTAGATTTTTGGATTCATCAACATGACATTCCTACTCAACATGATTTCTATTCATTTGGATTTGATCTTCACATCGCAAAGAATACTCCATTCTTCCCTTGACTTCAATAAATTGTTTTTTTTGGTTTTGCAAAAAGTTTGTCTTTTAGTGAAAAAAATCAAAAAAAAGTCCCAAACCCAAGTTCCCAAACACCACCAAAACCTCCTAAAAAACAAGGCCAAAATCTGGACAAGTAGAATACTCTTCATCCTCTCAAATCCTACCACATGGACACTCAGGGTCTGGGATTGGAAGATGACATTGACCTAGCTAAGAGCATTCACAGGCTTGTTCTCAACACCAGCGTGGCACTAACTGGAAGACTCTTTATCCCTTTCTATTCTCCTAACTCCATTTGTCTTCCATAATTAATTTGAATTACAACTGGAAGACTCACATCACAAAGTACCTCACCATCCCACAAATGAGAACCTTTTGGTATAAAACTTGTCAACATGCATCATCTAGCCCGTTTGACTGATATGTTCTGCACTAAGAAGTACATATATGAACATGGGACACAGATACAACATGATATGGATATGCTGAAACAATCTATTAGAAAAAAAGGACATGATAAAACTATATTTACACATACACATGAAAATAATATTAATCTCTTCAACTTTTCTATTACAAATACATTTATGTTTCATTATATCAAAATAGTAAGAAATCATTTTTAACATTCTTGTATTGGAAAAGACGTGAACAAAAAAATTCAAATATCCATTTGACAAACTATATTTATAAATTTAAAAAAAAAATTAAAAATTTGGTGATTTAGAATTAGCGTAAAGAATGAGGAGATCCACATTGTTCTGATTTTAATAATTGGCTCCTAAGTTATTTTGTTCAAATTGTGCGTATCTCATATGTGGATGGACACGTGTCTAAATGTCCAAATTGTGTTCAATTCTAAAAAGATTTAAAATAAAATAAAATAAAATAATTAATAACACATTTGGATGTGTATTCAAAAACATGTTAAGAAGTGTCCCATACAAGTTTGACACTGACATGACACCTTTCCTAGAACTGGTCATGCTTCTTAGGTCCCAAGGACCATCAATCTCTTGATACTCCAATCTAAATGACAATGCGAGCTCAGCTGGAGACCATAAACACCTAGAATTTATTTTTTTGTTTTTTTTTTTGTTTTTTTTTGTTTTTTTTTCCTCTCCCCGGACAAGTCTTAAACACCTAGGATATTATACTAATCCTCACCATCATTGGAGTGTTCTGAGTATATTTTACCAAAATCCTTGCCCACTGCAGTTGGAGTAGACGTTTTGTGCTTCCACAAAAACAACTAGAGGCTCCAACCACACCAATCTCCGGTCAACGAGAACCCATCACACCAAACCTGAACCAGGTTTATGGGCTTTTACCAAAATCCCTATCTAAACTAGAATCTTCCTCACCATGAGAGAGTTTCCCCAATAGCTTCAGACTCTCAGTAGATTTTTGGATTCATCAACATGACATTCCTACTCAACATGATTTCTATTCATTTGGATTTGATCTTCACGTCACAAAGAATACTCCATTCTTCCCTTGACTTCAATAAATTTTCTATATTCTAATTCAAACATTGGACATCAATTTTATAACTCGAAATTCTTCTCCAAAAATTGTTCCAAGCAAAACAACCACAAAACCCACTAGAGTACACATTCAGAAACTAAATTATTAGACCAAATTCTCATAATAGCAAAAGAAGAAAATCAATCAAGCTATATAGATGAGAACGAACACAATACCAGCCATCAACCATAGCATCAAAAGTGAAAGAAACCAAGTGGTATTCAGGGTTAAACTCGTCCACTTCAATCCTAATAGTATCCTTGTGAATATTCACATCGTTCTTGATCTTCTTGGCGCTCTGATGATCCACATACGGCGGCGGCGGAGGAGGAGGCCGAAATCCTGGCCAGGCATTAGTGTGATTGATGTAAGAGGGGTGATAACTGGACTGAGCCATCATGGGTCTGGCGTAATTGTAGGCGCTGGAGTGATGGGGGTGATGAGAAGGGGGGGACGGAGCGGGGAGCATAGGATAAGGGGAGTTGGCGGCGAAGGCATAGCTTGGCGGCGGTGGCGGCGGTGGTGGAGGAGGGAAAGTAACAGGAGGAGGGGGAGGGGGTTGAGGGAGAGATTGGATTTGATGGTGGTGACGATGGTTTTGGCGGTTGTGTCGTCTTCTAGAGCTCCATGAATGGCCCATCTTTAGAGAGAGAGAGAGTGGGAGATTTGTGCTGTGGGTTTTGAGAGAGATGGATGGATGCAGGCGATGGTGGGACTTGGCGTGTACAGCGTCGAGTTGGTAACCGAAGAAAGAGTAAAAGGAAAAAGAGAGAGAGAGAGAGAGGGAGGGAGAGAGAGAGAGAGAGCTGTGCTGTGCTGTGCTGTCGTTGAAGAGAAGCTATTGGTTGGTCCATGACACGTAACCCTCCACATACGTTGTGATTGGTGAATGTTAATGAATATTAAAACAACTAGTAATAATTTTTACTTGTGATTAGTCTGAGAAATTGTCACGGGTGCTCGGATCAATTAATAATTTTTTTTCGTTGAAGCTCCAGCTAGTAGCGGCTATTATTCAGTATTTTCGGAGTATAGGTACGTGATGTTTTATAAAATTTTAATTGATGGAGAGATATAAGAACTCACGATTTATGTTGAGAATGGAAAAATAACATGGAACTAACTAATTGATAATTGATTTAAAATATAGACACGTTGTGTTCCGATAATATTGAATAATTTCTCCATTAGTAGGGCCAATGATGATGTGGCAATTGCTGATGGTGGTGTTTTGCTGTTTGCCGACGTCGAGACATTTTAGGGGTCGTTTGGAGTGTCCTAAATAAGTGTATTTTTTGTATTTTTAGACTAAAAATTTGAGGGAAAAAATATGAATGTTTGAGTTAATTTTTTGACTTTTTATGAAAAAATGTGTAATAAAAAATTATAAAAATTGGTTTGTAGAGGAAAATTAAAATTGAGAGTTGTGCAGCCGTAATTGTTGACTTTTGGTGAATAGTATTAACTTATTAACTTTTTGAGTAACTTTTTGACTTTTTGACTTTTCTCAAACTTCCCAAACTTAGCCTTACAGTATTATTGGTTGCACCTACAATTTTGGTCTTTTTTGGAAGATAGTAAGGCTTGGTTTGGCATCTTCAAAAAAAGTTAAAAAGTCACTATCTTATTTAAGTCACATCACATCTCTACCACATCACTTCAAACTCAACCCATATTTCATAAAAAGTCAAAAAGTACACTTATTTAAGACATCTCAAACAACTCAAAAGGTCATTTTTTAATTTTTTTACTTATTCTTATTATATTATTTCTTTATTTTTTTACATATTTTTCCAAAAAATATCAAAAAAAATAAAAAAATAATTTTTAATCAACTTTTCAAAATAACCATTTATATAATTAACTCTAAATCATTTAATAAAATTATATTTTTTAAATATTTAGAAAATTTTAATTAGAAAGACTCTTAATTAATGTTGATTCAATTTATACTCTCTCCATCTCAATTTATTTGTTCATTATAAAAAATCTAAGTTATTAAGGAGATATACAATTATTACATTTTAATTCAACTTTTAAAATATTTTTTCCATTGTATCCTTCTTTTTAAATTTTAAAATGTATTTATAATAATTTATAATGGACAATTTTAAAAATCTAACAAAATTTAATCCCCTAGAATAAAAAATAGACAAATATTTAAGAGCGGACTAAAATGAAAAAGTAGAAATGGCACGAAGGGAGTAATTACATATGTAGCCTCCGTTTGGGAAGTGGGTTGGCTTTTTGGCTTTTTGGCTTTTTGACTTTTTAGCTATTTTAGCCTGGGCTATTTTAGCCTGGTGTGGGAAGAGCTTTTTGACTTTGGAAAAATTACCATGTAGTCCTATGTAGAGGATCTATTTCCCTTCTAATCCCAATTTATTTTTAATAGTTCAATAGGTCCACAGTTTTTTTAGTTTTATACCCAGAGGTCCCGTTTTTTATTTTCGTATTTTTAAATGACTGTGTTACCCTTTGTTTTGAGATCTATGTGTACGTGAGAAATCAAATTTTTGCTTCGTTGAAAAAAAGGAAATCAAATCTTCGTCTCCGCGATCTCGATTTCTCTTCGTTGTGGCGATCTCATTGTGCTGTGTGGTCGATCTCATTGTGCTGTGAGGTGGATCTGGTTGTGCGATTTGAATTTGTGTGTACAGGCGATATCTTCGTACGTTGTCTCTCTCTCTCTCTCTCTCTTAGTATGGAGCGGTGTTTCATGTTAATGTGCAAATACAGTAATTGTTGTGCTGCTATTAAGATTAGTGACGGATGTAGTTATGATGAAGTTGTTGAGAAAATATGTGCGAAGTTCAAGGAGTTGAGTGTTGGTAACTTTTGTTTGTTTTTCTCTGTTCCTGGATATTCTAATTGTATTGTTGAATGTGATGATGATTTGGGGAATATGCTGTCAATGGTAGGTGGTAGTGGTTGTCATGTTGTTGATGTTATTGTGGGGGATAAGAGAGTTGTGGAGGTTGATGATGGTAATTCTTGTAGGATTGATTCTGTAACTTGTGAGAGTTCTTTTGTGAATGATTGTGATGATGTTGGTGGTTTGTTGCGTAGTTTTTATCCAGAACCAGAGAGAGTTTTGTTGTCTGCTAGTTGGAAGGGGATTATACATAGTGTTGGTCAAGAATTTGAAGGTGGAGTGTCGGGGTTCCGCATTGCATTGGCTAAGTATGCGGTTCAGTGTGGTTTTGCAGTGAATTATTTGAAGAACGATGCAATAAGAGTAACTGCTGAATGTATGATGAAGTCGTCTACGGGTTGTAAATGGTTTGTGCATGGAAGGGTGTTGATGGATTCTGGTGTTTTTTTTTATAATGAAGTTGGATAATGTGCATACTTGTGGGGTTGTTGCTCGTAGATCTTGTAGCAAAATGGTTGGTTCTAGACTTGTGTCTGATATTGTGCAAAATGATATTAGTGATAATCCGTTGACTCGTTCTATTGAAGTTAAAAAAAAGTTGAAGAAGCAATATGGTATAGATGTTTCTTATCGGGTTGCATGGTTAGGAGTTGATAAGGCAAGAGGTGGGTTGTTTGGTGATTTTGCAACTTCTTTTGACCAGCTTCGATGGTACCTTGAGACGGCTATGAGAATGAATCCGGGAAGTGTGTTTGAATTAGATGTGGATGAAAGTAGTGGGTGTTTTCGGAGGTTGTTTGTGGCATTTCATGGATGTTTGTATGGCTTTCAATTTTGTCGTCCGTTGTTGTTTGTTGATGGTACATTTTTGAAGGGGCGTTACAAGGGGCATTTGCTTGCAGCAACATCAAAGGATGGTAATCAAGGTATGTATTTATTTGCAGTTAGTATTGGTTTAGTTTGTCAGTGTGTTATTGTATTGTGAGTCTGCTAATTTTTGCAGTTTCATGTGGTTTTGTTTGCAGGTTTGTTTCCTTTGGCTTTTGCGATTGTTGACGCTGAAAATCAAGATAATTGGATGTGGTTCTTAAGTCAGTTGTTGAAGGCTGTTGGTTCAGGCCGGAGATTGACTTTTGTGTCGGACCGTCAACATGGATTGCTAGACGCTCTTTCAGTGGTTTTCCCCAATGCACATCATGCTTATTGCTTGAATCATTTGAAGAGAAATTTGATTGACAAATTGGTGGGACTTCGTACTAACTATAAGCTGTGTTTGATGAAAATATTAGTTAAATGTGCTTATGCGCCAACGGTTGCTTCTTTCCAACATTATATGGAGAAATTGAGGCGTATTGCTGGGAATGGTAGAGTTGATAGTATGTTGGATGGTTTGCAAAATGATAAGTGGGCCAATGCATTTTTTAGAGGGAAACGATATGGTGAGATGTCATCTAATGCTGCCGAGTCTTATAATAATTGGATTGGTGGGGCCCGTGAGTTGCCTGTTACTTGTATGGTTGATATGATTAGGGTTCAAATCATGACTCAATTGTCGGATAGAAGAGCTGAATCTAGAAGATGGACTACGAAATTGTGTCCAGTTATGGAAAAGAAGTTGGTGGACTCTTTGGAGCTAGCTAAGTCTTGGGATGTGATTGTTGCTAGTGATACTGTGCTTGAGGTTCATTCTTCTATTTCTTTTTATGTTGATATTGGTAGACAGACTTGTTCTTGCCATGAATGGCAATTGAATGGTTTTCCTTGTTGTCATGCTGTGCATGCTTTGCGTAGTAGTGGTAGAGATGTGTATGGTTTCATTGATCCTTTTTTTTTCATGTAGATTGTTTTAGGGAGTCATACAAGGAATCTGTTTATCCAGTGCCTTCAAGTGAGAGATTTGACTTTGATGGTTCCAGTAGTTCGGTTATCAAACCTCCTATAACGAAGAAGCAGCCCGGGCGGAACAAGAAGAAGAGGATACCTTCAAGGGGTGAGAATGTGAAGCAAATCAAGTGTGGGAGGTGCTTGAAATATGGGAATCACAATAAGAAGACGTGCAAGGCTGCTATTTGAGGCCGCAATCTATTCTTTTGGATTTGTATTTGAATTTGAGGAATTATGATAATAAAAAATGTGATACTTGGTATTATGGAAGTAATGAATAAAGTTGGTTGAATTGTTTTTTGTTTGTTGATGTGTTTTTTACTTATTGAAGTTGTTTTGTAATAGTCTGGTTTTGTTTTTTATTTTTATGGAATGCAGAGAAGGTTGTTGAAAATTTCTTATTGAAACAGTATAATACAGAAACGCAGTTCATATTTCATAGCGATAAAACTGTATAATTTTGCAGTTTTAAGAATTATTAGAAACAACTTGATGAAACCGCATAATTTTGCAGTTTTAAAAATTATTAGAAACAAGCTGATGAAACTAAAAAATTTTACAGTTTGAAGAATTATTAGAAACAACCTTTACTGTATGAAAATATATGCAACCACAAACAGGTAGACAAACAATCAGAAGAAGAACCACAATAATAATAATAATAATAATAAGAGCAACAACAACATCAATCATTTGCACCATAACCATGATAACCAGAAAAAGATCATTCCCAAAAGTATATAAAGTACTTGTCACATGTTAAAAAAGAAAAATAAAAAAAAATAAAAAAAAAGGTTCAAAGATATGTTCCCTTGAATATTTGTATTGTCAAGAAGTTTGTTCATTGTTTCTATGGTTTGGTATGTTTTGTCAACATTTGGTAGTGCTCGAGTTTCCAAGATCGGTTCTCATCATTGAGGAATTGATTGATGATTTGTGCTCGAAATTTGACCCACTCAGTTGGACGAAGTTTTTTCTGCACAGGTTGCCAGTTGAGATATTGGTTGATAACATTGCAGACGGCAATTGC